GGGGGCCGGGCTATGCCATGGCAACCGTGCCGTTCCGTGCTGTGCTGTGCCATGCTGGCCACTGTGGTGGCGTGCCGTGCCGACGATGCCATGCTATGCCATGCCATGCCATGCCGGCCATCGTGGTGCCGTGCTGTGTTGGCCATTGTGGTGCCGTGCCGTGCTATGCCGATGATGCTGTGCTGTGCCATGCCATGCCGCGCTCGCCATCGCTGTGCCAGGCCACGGCAACCATGCCGTGCTGTGCCATGCCATGCTATGCTGTGTTGGCTATTGTGGTGCTGTGCCATGCCGTGCCATGCCAATGATGCTGTGCTGCGTCATGCTATGCTGTGCTCTCCATCGCGGTGCCGTGCCATGCCAACAATGCCATGCTATGCCATGCCATGTCATGCTCGCCATCACGGTGCCATGCCGTGGCAACCATGTCGTACTATGCCATACCGTGCCATGCCATGCTCGCCATTGTGGTGCCGTGCTGTGCCAATGATGCTGTGCTGTGCCATGCTGTGCCATGCCGGCCATCATGGTGCTGTGCCATGTTGGCCATTGTGGTGCCATGCTAACGATGCCATGCTGTGCCATGCTGTGCCATGCTTGCCATTGTGCTGCCATGCCGTGGCAACCATGCCGTGCTATGCTATGCCATGCTGTGCCGTGCTCGCCATCACAGTGCCGTGCCATGCCATGCCGTGCCAACGATGCCGTGCTCTGCCATGCCATGCCGTGCTTTGCTGTGCTATGCCGTGCTCACCATCACGGTGCCATGCTGTGCTGTGTGGGCCACTGTAGTGCCGTGGCGTGCCATGCCAGTCATGCCGTGCTGTGCCATGCAATGCTCTGCCAACCATGCTACACTGTGCCAAAAATGCCATACCAAATATACCATGCTGTGCCTTGCCATGCCATGCCATGCATGCCATTGCGGCGCTATGCCGTGCCGTGCCAACCATGCTGTGCTGTGCCATGCACACTATGGCATGCTATGCCATGCTTTGCTGTGCCACATGGGCCACTACAGTGCCATGCCGTGCCAGCCATGTGGGCTGTTGTGGTACCGTGCTGTGCCACGCAATGCCGTGCTGTGCCATGCAATGCTGTGCCAACCATGTTATACCATGCCAAAGATGCCATGCTGTGCCATGCCAACAATGTCGTGCTGTGCTCTACCATGCTGTGCCAATGACACTGTGCTGCGCCTTGCCACACTGTGCAATGCGTGCCATTGCGGTGCCATGCCACGCTGTGCCATGCTATGCTGTGCCATGCCATGCTGTGCCGTGATATGCCATGCCAATGCTGCCATGCCATGCCACACGTGCCATCACAGTGCCATGCCATGCCATGCCAACCATGCCATGCTGTGTTGTGCCATGCCAACGCCACCATGCTGTGCCATGTGGGCTGTTGCTTGTGCCATGCTGTATCATGCCAACCATGCCGTGCAGTGCCATGCCATGCCAATGCCGCCACGCCATGTCACACGTGACATTGTGGTGCCATACCAACCATGCTGGCCATTGCAGTGCCGTGCCATGCCAAAGCTGCCAGGCTGTGCCACGCGGGCCATCACGGTCCCATGCCATGCCAACCATGCCGTGCTGTGCTGTGCCATGCCAATGTTGCCATGCTGTGCCACACATGCCGTTGCTGTGCCGTGCCAGCCATGCTGGCCATTGCAATGCCGTGCCATGCCAAGGCCACCATGCCATGCCCCATGTGCCATGGCAGTACCATGCCGTGCCAAGGCCATCTCTCTCCCTGCCCGCAGCAGCGTGCGCGGGGGCAGCGGGACGGCGGGCACAGCAGCGGGCACAGCAACGGGTGGAGGTGCTGCAGGCACTGCGCAGTGACCCAGTGGGACTGGAG